GACAAGACGGTTACTTTATTGGATATATGTTGCAGATCAGCTTGAGTTATTTGTTTACGTCCCATTAGATATGAAGCGAACCAATCTGCGCTTCGAAAGTGATTTTAAAGGTGTGTGCTTATTAAGGAGTGCATTGATTTTATTGTTAAATACAGAGTATGCTTTACTAACATTCGCTTCATTGCCGACAGCACCAATCAAGTCAATTTGTGACAGCTCGTTTAGAAAGGTAGGCTCTGAATAATTGGAGAAGTCACGAACTAATTGTTTAGGTCTCTGCACATCGAACAGTTTACTAGAAGAGTCAAGAATGCAAAATTGCGAAAAATGATCGCTTTATTAAATCCGAGATAATGTTACCGCTTAAACAATACTTTCAAGGTTGCTAATAAAATATATTATCGATAAGTGATAAATTACTTCAGGCCAAACGAATTCGGGTGTTTTAATTAACTCGCGAATGGACATCGCTACTGAATAAATATATTATACTAAAGGCGGGGAATCTCTTAACCCTTTATCTCTCATGAGTGACCGAGACAGAATTTCTCCTTACAATATCAATACAATATCAAGCAGACAAGTGTTGAGAATAAAGAAAAATACCAATTAGGGGATTATTAGTTGATCCCATACCAGATTCTCCAAACTAACATCACAAGAACTATATAATAGACAGTAAGGAGAATTACTGATGAGATCTTGGGGGATAAAGGGTTAACTCGCTATGCAAAACTCTCGGTAGCAGCACAAGTTTTTACTGCCATCAAGTTTCTTTTGAATACGACAACTTTGCTGGTGACAGATAAAGAATCTCGTATGATGATTTATCTTCAAGAAAGTATAATTATCGTCTTTTGCTATTTTTAGTGATAAATGTATTTCTATTCATAACTGCTGCTTCGCAAAAACCCCATGATTTTCGTTGGGCTTCGGATGGATTCTGCAGTAGATCTCATCAAGCTCTTCGTAAGAAGCGTGGAAGTGATAGATCTTTACGCGGGGTTAATTGCACAGCGTCTTTATGTCACCGCTTATCAGATAAGTCTGTCTAGAGAAAATAGGTCTGCGTGTCGCTCCACATTCTCCATTTGCTCTTTATCAAGTTTTCTATCACTCATGAATAAAGGGGTTAAGTTTCTAAAGAAACTGGTGCTGCGTCGGTGAGAGAGTATAACAGGGTAATTCGGTCTTATAGACTGAGTTGATAACGTAAATTGGCCTCCGTAGAAAGTTCCAATGCTGACGTTTCGAGCGTTAGCGAATCATTCGCTCTGGCGAAGGGCTAATGCTCAAAACGTCAGCTTTGAAACTCTTTACGGTGTCCAGTTTACATTATCAAGTCAGTTGATAATAATAATAATAATAATAATAATAATAATAATACCAAATAAGATGTAATATTTTAATGACTTTAAATGTATGAAATTCATAATTTATATGTGCACTGCGGTTGAAGAAACGAATGTAAGCGATCCTCGCAGTTATGAACACTAGTGAACGAGTAGTTGAAATAAGACCTGAAAAAAATTCGGGCCCGTACGGGTTATTTTTCTCTCTTTTTGTGCTCTTATTGTTAGTAAGCAACAAACCTGGATAAATTTGTACCTAATAAAAGTGGTGAAGCAATAGAAAAGGAAATTACCTAAACTCTCAGCAAGGTAGGAAAAGATGCATGCAAAAGTAAAACGTTACTTTGGAGAAAAGAGAGGGGGTATCATGAAATTTTCCACCGCAAATATGGGGGGATGAAAAATACATTGTATACTTAAGGGGGGATCACGTAAACGCTCCGTCGTGGCAACAAAAATCTTCCGCGCTCTCCCCACCCCCCCCCCCCACACACACACAAAGCGATAAATAATTACGAGTACCCTGAACATGTAAATAAATTATGCAGACGAGTTCTTGTAATTACTTCTTTATTAGCGAATCTTATAGGAAAATATGTTCTGCCGTTTACAAGAAAAAATATTTTTGTCTTTCAAACTGAAGGTGGATGTTAAACTTGTCCATACAGAGGAAAAAAGAAAAGCTGAGTTTGGGCCTCCCCCTTTTTTGGCTCGTTTTGAGTCTGACTGGACGTTGACAATATAGACTTCAATGCCTATTACAGAACATTTCGCTTACTTTGAAAATGCTGTTGCGTTCTAAATACCAAAAGATCAAAAAAAATTGTCATCAGTGTCTTGCCGCACGTTCATGTTTGTCTTATTTGACTCTTTTTAACCTTCAGCTTTAAGACATATCAATACTAAAAACAGGATTTAACTGGCCATGTCATTCTCAAAGACAATTTATTACATTTACTAGACTACACGACTACACGACTACACGACTACACGACTCGTATGGTTCAATAAACCTTCTTGGAAGCTAGAGAATAAAGTTCCATTTCGTTCCGCTTGAGCATCACTTAGTTATGACATGCCCCAAATGAAAAGTGAAGTTGTAAAATCAATTAACTAATGACGAAAAAACATTTGAAAAAACTGAGCTCACAAGATGATTATAATCACAAATTAATAGTCAAAAATGATTTCAAGAACCTTCGTGATCACCCTGCACGACATATCTAGATAAGATTCTTACAACATACATGGCTCAATAATTTTAAGTTGAAATTACACAAACGCTTTGGGTGATTTTTCACTTTTCAGGCAAGTGATCTTCTACTCCCACAGTTCCTTCATACTGCTTATTACCTTTCCATTGTTGCTTGTCTTCAGTTTGTTCATCAAAAGTTCGTTAAAATCTAACGGCTTGAAAATATCGATCTTCAATGAGGCCACTTCCTCCTTGGATAAATTATACCATGCTTGGGTCAACTTTCGGTGGTACGCCAATTCTCCGTTACTTGGGAAAGTTTGCATGTCATGTAATTCTCCATCAGCATCCTTCTGGGAAATTGCATTTCTTCGCCGTCTGTCTCTCTCCACATGCACTTCGGGCTTACGCAATATGCGTTTGACATGGTTGAAATCGAACTTGGCATTCCTCCGTCCATAACGGAGGGCGCTCACTCCTGAATCGTATCCGCTATCCTCTGTCATCATATCCTTTGACTGGTCCACAGATTTCATTGCGTCTGGAGTTTGCTGATGCATCCTACTTTCAACAGAAATCGTCAAAAGTTAGCAAATCACTTCACAATTTATATCTTCTAATGCAGTTTTGAAATTAGACTCAATGACGTTAATTACCAAATATGGTATCATTGGTACGTCTACTGTTGTACTTCCGGTCACGGAATAGAAAAGGATCCTCCAAAGTCAATTGTAAGGGTTGAAAATGAGAAAAAAAGATCGTTTTCAAACGTGTTTTTTCATGTGATGGAGTTAATAGCAAGATTTCCGAATATGAGCGATTCTTAACAACCTTATTTGTAGCTTAATGGGCTGTTCCAAGTCCAAACCGATACCACACATGTGGACAGACCAAATAAGCACTTTAAGCCATCAGCCAATGAAACTGAACTGAAACTAATGCTAGCCAATCAGAATGAAGGAAACTTGTTACGTGAGCAGGTTAGGAGCGTCCATATGAAGAGTTATGTATGCGCTTTTATTTTAAATGATTCTTTCTTGAGCTTCTCACAATTTGTTATTAACACAACTGATTTGGAATCGGACTTTGAGTCGCAAAATTTTGGGAGTAATGGTGCTCATTATTTCAGATTAGTATCGCACTACGCAACCAGAATGAGCATCGCGCTACGCGCCAGCCTACTTGAAATCACTCGAATAAAGTGAGTAAGTTTGTAAAGAAACTGTGGTGCTACGTCAGTGGGAGAGTGTAACAGGGTAATTAAGTATTATCAACTGAGCTGATGACGTAAATTGGCCACCGTAAAGAGTTCAAAAGCTGACGTTTTGAGCGTTAGCTCTTCGTCAGAGCGAATGCTCTCTTCTCTTTAAGAAACTGTTTTTCATATATTTTTCTATTTTCAAATTTCAAGGAAAAATGAGCGTGCGCCACAATCGTTGTTTGTAACTTTACTTCTGTGTCGGTTTGCGTCGGTAGCACCGCTCTTCAAAGCTGGGTTCTCCTATTTTCCGGGACCACCTTGCGAACACAAACGAACGTATTTCCGATTGACGCTATTGCTTTGATTAGTAAGAAATTGGTACTGATGTGAATTCAAATTGGCCGAATGTTCCAGTGGTTATTTTACTTGATTCTATTCAATTAGTAGCTTAATTACTTACGCACTAGGCTAATTGATTTGATTTCATTCATTTGTTTTGTTCTGAAAAAACGCGCGAGAAGGCAACACACTGTATCCTCTTCGAACTAAAGAGTGTATTCTTTAAAACAGGTCGTTTAGAATCGAGGACGCTTCTGTGCGATCGTTTTCGGTGTGGATAGCTAAAACCAGATGATTGAAAACTGTTTGGTAAAAATGTTCCATATGATGTCGCTTTTATCAGTCTCTGGGTGTTTTAGTGAACATGATTCTGTTGAAAACCCAGCAGAGAGATCTGGCATGCACATTGAGATAAAATCATGATATTATATTTCATGTGAACAGTTGAAAATAAAACAAAACTAGCGTGGAAGAATAGCTATTACTTCGTAGATAAGCGTTAAGTGATTCCATGCTGATCATGAGTGGATTTTTGCGAAGGATGAACGTTCGTGACTTTACGCTAAAAGTTCAGTTCGTCTTTAATAAGTTACGTGCCTTACTCTATTTGCAATGCATGGAAGCGATAGGGGCAGTCAGACCTCTCGCCTTTTTGCTGTGGTGTAGTTGAGGTACAGGCAAGTTGTGATCTTATACATACGTTTGTGATCTCAGCCGTCTTTGGATTGGGTCAACCGTCGCGGGATAAATTTACTTTTAACATTACTTGATAAAGCTTTAGTATGGTTTAATGACTTCACCATGTAAGGCGGTTTTTTATCTTGTCACACGGGTCTTTGTTCCTCTTCGCCATTACCACACTCGAGTTCGAAGCCACATACACCGTTAACTGAACTAACCACCAAAATCAGTACAAGGTTAATAAATATTATTTTAATACCAATACATTTTGTGAACGGGAACATAATTTTTTCTACTCTTTTGGAATCATTTTCAATACGCCTTCCTATCTTGTGGTTCTTAAGAAATTACCCCACGTGTAGCCGCGCCCTCCACGCCAAGGAGAAACGTCTACGTCAACACGTATAAAAGAATGAGGCAATAGCTGAACACAAGATTCGGTAACAAACACTTAATCAAACGAATTTACGTTACAAGTATTTACGAGTCTCTGTTAACTACATGTACGTCAAAACTCCCTTTAAAACGTAAGAGAACTGTCAAATATCCGATTGTCAAGAAAAGCAAACAATGAAGATTGAATACAGCCCCAAGAAGAAAAAGGGTGATCGATTATGGCGACGCCTTAGTTCTAAAGAGCAAACTCGAAAAATTCAGGATATACACGCACAGAGTCCTACTCAGTCAAATTGACGCCTACTTTTCCTTGTTACGTAAATTCATAAACGAAACCTTCTTTAAACGAGGTGCCGTTAAAAAAAGAACTGAAGTTATTTACATACAAGTTGAGAAAATTTCATGGACTGAACTTAGGACTGAATACTATGTTCTTTAAACTTTGTAAGGAACAAGAATTGGGTATTTTACTGGCGTTTAATTTCTCCTCACAATATCCCCTTGAATCACACATTAAGGTTATGAGAATAAAGGAAATGATCACCAAATGAAGAAGCTCTTGAACCCTTTGACACTTAAGAGTGACTAGCATCTTATTTCTCCTTACAATATCCTCTTGAATCACACATTAAGGTCATGAGAATAACGGAAATGATCACCAAATGAAGAAGCTCTTGAATCCTTTGACACTTAAGAGTGACCAACATCTTATTTCTCCTAACAATATCACCCTTGAATCACATGTAAAGGTTATGAGAATAACAGAAATGATCACCAATTTGAGAAGTTCCTGATTTTTTAACAAATTCTCCTAGTCAGTACCTTTTGAAATGTAAAGAGAACAGTACGGAGAATACCAATACTAACGTTGGAATGTAAAGGGTTAATAAAGCCAGAAAATACGCTGACAATAAACATTTGTACAGTTGCTTACTGGTGTTACTACAATGGCTGTTGTTTTTCAGTTATGTACATAAAGGTATGGCACTGAGTTATCAACCTTGCAGCTTAGCATGTATTTAGCAATAAAAGTAAAAATTAGTCGTTTTTTCTTAAACGGAAGTCTGTCTATAATTTGATGTGTCCAAGACTTGTTTCCCACACATGGCACAAATTCCTGAAAGAGATAACTTTCATTGGTCATGAATTACAGAACATATTTAAAATGGGTGGTAAAAGTGTGATTGAGGAGTTTTGTATTTGAAAATGTTATATGAGGCTCTATGACTAGTCAAGGAAACTGGCTCCACATTAACCAATCAAATGTAAAACTAAAACAAACTGCAACTTAGTCATTTTTGTTCTGATTGGTCCCTCTGGATTGTACTCTTTGTTCTGACTGGCCATTGCGATTACATGTAGTTTGTTTTGGTTTTAAGAGATTCCATAAAATAGCACATGTTCCTTGCGAGTCACAAATGAAAAAAACATTCTTACGCAAGAACAAATCTCAAATTTTTTTCATCTCTTTTTATCCATTTACAACCATGCAAATTTATACAGCCCCATACTTCATTATGTAAACAGTTCTTAAAAAGAAAAAGAAAAGATAAAGAAAAATTAAAAAGAAAGGATAAAGAAAACATTGGCAAAAACAATAGATTGCCATACATTTTCAGGTTTTAGTTGTTTAAATCGGGTTTTTTTTTTGTACTTTTTTGGGGTACAGCACAGTACAATACTGAGTCTGAAACAATGAAATTTCAAATTGAATGATGAACAGATAAGATTGAGCTACAATTAACATGTACCACTACATGAGAAAAACAGACACAAACCTTTCTTGTATGCACAGCCTGTTGAAGTGGAAAAAAAAAAGAATTGTGTGAAATTTGGCCATTGGGCAATTAACAAATCAAACACAATTTTCCTTGAATATTATCTTTTAAAATTATGTCAGTAAGTTTCAAAACTGAAGTGAAACTACAAGCCACAGCCAAGTGGTTTCACTGTAAAGTTTTGAACATAATTGTTAGCACTCTTTAAGACATCTTCAAAAAAAAAATGTTAAAAATGTCTGTTCTGTCTTCTTCAAAACCCTAACACTCTTGACACAAATACATGGTTAGAAACAAAGAAAGGTTGGCAAGGAAATGCCAGCTTAAAGCAGAAAATTGTCTCACAAACTACACAGATTCTTCAAAAGACATCCTTCACAATTGCTTTCAGGCTGAGTGATCAAAAAATCATCGCCTTCTAATTGTTAAAAAGAAAAAAACACAAGGTCACGATGAAACTCCCTTAGATAAGAATCCCACATACTTTGACAGTAGTGTGAATGTGCCTGATGGACAGTCTGTTTACAGATTCTGCATTTATTGAAGGTTGTATATGGGTTAAATCTGAAAAAAAACCCAAAAACAAGTGAGAACTGTCAGCTTACCCTATGCTCAACTGAGTACATAAATGGTGTTCATAAAATTTTAAATATGAACCCCCAGAAATTGTGGCTTGTTAAGGTGAGTTTGATAAAGCTAGCATTGACTGTAATTAAATAGTAATTTCAAAAGGCTGGTGGTCCAAGCTAGGGAAGAAAAGTCTTTTACCTGTCTCTTCTTTCATTGTGGAAAATGCTCACAATAGGGATTTATTTACTGCATGGTTAATTCATCCTTAGAAATACAATAATGACTAAGATACTGAGTCCAGTTTCAATTGCCTCTTGATACAAGATACAGGTGAGCAACTATGTTAAAAACCAACCCCTTTATCACTAAAGCACATTAAAATGAGTGTCCTACAACCACAACTAAACATTAAGATTTCTCCACAGGAAAGGAGAACCCTCTAAAATGTGCCCCACTACCCACGTGTAGCTTTGTAGCTCAGTTGGTAGTGGTCCCCAGTTTTTATCTAAGAGGCACAGGTTTAGATCTTGCCAAAGTCTAAATTTTTTTTCAAATTTCTTAAGTACAACTGCTGAAATTGCACCTCAGCTGTGAGGATCATGATTTTACTTATTTTTAATTACAGCTGCCAATGGGAGCAAAGAAATATCATGTCAACCCATGAACCTAGCAAACTGCAAGAGGTACAGGAAATGCAAGTAAACAAACTGTGCTCATAAGTCTTAATTTTGCATCTGACTGGTGAGGAGGGTGATGCAAGATTTCTAGACCAGACACAGTGCAAACTAGAAATACACCAGTGTTATCCTGATTCACATTTGACACGATGATCTGCGCTTAAAGAAAATTAGCTTGATCGCCTAGCTGTGGCTCCCCACTATGCTCAATAATCAAACTCAGTTTTCCTAACAGGCTTCAGGCAATTGTTATGCTTATGTCTTAGATTGTTTGGTTCAGGTATTTGTGTATGACTTGTGTATAAGTCAAGGGTGATTTTTTGGGCTGATTTTTTGGTCATAAAAGATCGACCTATACACGAGTAAACACAGTAATTTTGTGGTGTTTCAACCATTCCTCAAGACATGATACAGAAATTCATGCTATCTTTTAGGCTAACCATTCCAAAAATCATAATTTTAGCGATGTTAGCATTTTTATCAGCCTTGAACACTCACAATATTGGTATGTTCCATTACAACTAGACTTTCATTTTAAGCATGTGCAGTTAATCACTAACCTGTTCTTTTTCTGTGTGAGAAGCTTGTTTTCGTTGACTTTCCTTCCTCCACCCTCTAAAAATTAAATGGAAAGGCAAATAATACAATCTCAGTCAGAAAGTATCGACACAGATCAAGAAAATCAGTACTGTCTACCTACTTATACTAAATGTTCTACTTCACGTTTAATAGTGCTTACTCTGTCATTTATGGGTCGAATACTTGTGCTCAAGATGTAGTAATTTTTTTTACCTGTCGTGTTTCTTGCTCCAGATTTCCACGGATCAGGGCAAATCACTTTCCCGAGTTTTTTCTGACCTGCGTCATCAAAGCAGTAACAAACAAAATTAAAAGTTGTGTGATGAAAGTTCAAGGAGAAAGCCTATCCTAAACCCATTTTACGTCATTATGTTTAACATCAGGCTATCAATTAGGGAAAAAGACATCTCTTACATTTATCGCACACCATCTTTTAGGGACAAAATCGTGATTCCTGCCAGTGAATTTGAAGCTTGAGTGTGAAAAAGACGAATTCAAAGTACTCCTATTTCGCTGAGATTTACACTGTCATGTAAAATTACACCAGATGCCCCCTAAGCCCCAGACTTCCCTCTCTCAATCTCGATTAAAGAGACTTTCATGCAGACCTTAGTTTGGTGTGCGGTTTTCCCAGGTAACGCCACACTGGAAACTATTATACCACTTTGAAATGCTTCATGAAGGACATCATGAAATGATCACTAAATTTTTTTTTGTTTGCAGAAACATTTATGTCCAGATAAGGGCCCTGCATTTCAAGCTCCTGTAGTCTGAACACTCATAAATTGACTTCCTTCCCTTAGCAACCAACTGGGCTCAACAGTTTGCCTGGCCACTTTATCAATAGGTTTCAATACAACAATTTTCAACTTTCCATAAAAATTTCAATAAATTGTTCACTGCATAATAACACTTATGAAGACTTAATATGTATTTTAAAAAAATGTTACATGTATAGTTGAACCTTCTAAGTGGCTTTCTTGAGCAAAACTAACAGAATTTTGAAGACAGGTGAATGCTGTAAATGTTGTGGTTTCAACAATAGTAAATATTAAGGAATCTACAGAGAATTGAAACAAATTTCCTTGTAACTGTAGACTTGAGCATGGCTGTCATGAGGGGTAGCTGTAAGAGGAGATCAGAATATAGTCATGGATATTTTTATTACAAATTACAGATATCTCTACAACAAAATTCTACTACTTAGAGCTGTTAAAAGTTCAACGAACTCTGCTTTAAAATATCATTTTTAGCCTATGAGAAATATTGAGGTTAAATGTTCAGTTAAAGCTGTATTGTATACTTGAACGTCCTTCTCAATCCATCCACATCACTTTGAGACTGTTAGAAGAATCTATCCAGTTACATATTAGCACTGAAAAAGAAACATTCCCTCAAAGCATGATGAAATTTTTATTTCCCATTTGCCAACCCTTTACACTCTAACATCAGTATGCATATTCTCCCTACTGATCTCTATACATTTACTGAGGTGCTGACAAAATTAAATTATTCTAAAAATCAAGAGCTTCTTTATCATGCAATCATTTCCTTTTATGTTGTGACCTTCATGTGTGATTCAGATGTGATATTTCAAGGAGAAACTACATGTTATTACTGTCATTCTTAGGGGTCAAAGGGCTGAGACAAAGATGGTTGTTGACTTTATATTGATAAACTTTTCACTTCATCATGCTGAGCATTTTTAATATTTGATTCTTGAGCCCATTATCTGCTGGAGTGGTGAAACATTTTTACATCCATGATAGCTGTTAACTTCAGTGGCATGTCACACCAACATATCTTCTCAGTAATCCACATCCAAAGGAGTTTTATGAACTTTTCTAATATTTCAAAGAAGTACTTTTCTTTGATATGGAATTCCTAGAATCCCAAGCGTTTCAGCAGAGTGAAGACTTCATCTTTGTAACTTCCTCTTATTTTTACTTGGCTTGTCAGTTCATTTCTTGAGGTAATAATATCATTTCCAAGGTGACTTTTCAGACATTCTTCTAGTGCCTTGCAAAACAAAAAAAAACAACCAAACACTGATAATATTTTTGATACATTTACAACACTATTCAAGGAATCAAGTAAATACCAAAGACATAACCAATATTGAAGTAGTGCTATGTGAGTGAATCGAACATCAGATTCCAAATTACCAGATGCTAGCATTTCTATTAATAAAGTTAACATGTCTGTTCTCAATTCATTTTATAGCTGATTATTCTATCCCTAAATTGTAATTGATCATGAAGATTTTCTCAAGATAACATACAACTTAATGAACTGGCAGCAAAATCAATCATGTAGTCCAACAAAAAATTTAGTGGGATTTAAAAAAATACTGAAACAACTCAATGCTTTCATCTTTCACTTCACTGAATTGAGGCACTTAAGGCTTTTCAACAGCTTTGTATGAAATTAGGTCATTGTACAATCACCCCAAGAAATGATTGATACACAAGTAATTGCTGCATACCACTAACATCAATCCTTATTACCTTTAGATCTCCTTTGACTCTCCTTATTATCGTTAACTTTCGAGTTCTTCCACTTCTATAATCCGTATATACTGGAATGTTGTTGTATTTGCTTCTTTTAATGAAGAAAGGCAAGTTTGGCTTTTCTGTAAAGATACACATACATTTGGCTTTACTGTAATGACATACATACAAGTGAGTGTTTGGGGGGAAGTAATGCACCTATCGATGGCTTGGAGGGAGAGAAACCCCCTTGGGTAGGAATTAGGACATCTACGCACAGCCTCAGGGTCCGGAATTAAGTTTGACCTAGTCACCACCTTGACAGACTGAGTGAAACTGGAAATGAGAGTCATCTGCCACCTTGGAAGTCACCTAACAACATTTCTTGGTAAATAATTGGAATAAAAATTGGTAAACAACGTCTTTGGGGCCCCAGGAGTGAAATTTTGACATAGAATGGACACCCAAGGGCGGGAAACTTAAATGACTTTGGAAAACTATTGATAGATGCGTAACGTAAAGAACTACGCATATTTCAACGAGCAATTGATCAGCTGTACAAAAAATACATACCAGTAGCAGGAGGAACCCATCCACTGGGTGATGCGTTAATCTGTTTAAGTCTATCTGGCTTAAATTCATAGCTAATTCCATCAGTGTGAACCAATCTTCTTAAACAAGGAAGCGTGTCCTGAAAAAGAAGTAAATTAGAGATTCAATCAGTAGCGAAATCCTGTTAAAAAAAAAAAACACAGTGGGCGATTTTTAACCTTGGCTAATCCTCTTGCAGTTGGAGATTGAAGCGCTGGATTTGAAGAAATAAAAGATCTGCAAACTTTACTAAACGCTGCCGCCACGGTGGCCGCCATCTTGTGTAATGCAATTTTAAACATAGATTAACACCACATATCTATAAGAATCTTGATTACACAGCTGACATTCTCATCGCAGGCTCTACTCCCGGCGGCCACTTGGCGCCATGCGTCAAATGAATGCGCAGTGCAAGGTATCTTCCTTTACGAAAGTTTGGTTGCACCACCACGTGTAATCGGTAAGAACGCAAGGATAAATTCGCTATATTTACATTACAGAGAGTCCACTAGTGAGCTCTCTATCAGAAAAATGTATCAGTAATTATTGCTGTTCCTTTTGGCGATAGGTAATTCAAGATGCAGCTATTTGTTCGCGGACAAAACCTTCATACTTTCGATGTCACTGGCACGGAGAGTGTCCAGTATCTCAAGAATGAAATCGCCTTTGCTGAGGGCATCTCTGTCGATGAACAGGTTCTCTTCTACGCTGGACAACCTCTAGAGGATGAACTGAGCCTTGTGGATTGTGGGGTAGTTGATCTGGCTACTTTGGAAGTCGGGCTTCGCTTGCTCGGAGGTATAAACCCTTAAATCGATTTGTTTATATATTGCTAGATCTATTTTTCTGCTTTTCAAAGAGTTGGGCTCTGTTTGTCACATTTTTGTACTCTTTGAAAGCAGAGTATTAGTTTTTTTCCAAAAAAACTATCAGATGATTTAAGTGGTGAACTTGCATTCTACATGGTTAGGGAAATTTTCAGGGAAAACCAAAAATTTTCAGCCGTAAGGTCAGAAGAAAAGTGAGGAAATTTTTCATGTTATTTAATTACGACTCAGCAGTTTTTCCTTTCTTTATTGTTTTGGCATCGCTATGATACAAATGATTTATACCAATTTGTTGATAATATATAAATGGATGGAAAAGACAATCGTAACATATGGTTTTGACACACTACTGTGTGATAGATTTTTAATTATTTGATGTAAGAAATTCTGTGGTTATTGCAATAGAAACACTGCTGTCTGTGGGAACCATGATCTTTCATTATCATGTAAGGGAATTGATTTGAGAAAATTAGAGTAAGCCTTTTCTATCACTGTAATTTAGCTGTGGATCTTAGTTATATTCAACTAAATACCACTGGATCACCTCAACAGAATTCTACATGCTCATGTAGAGTCCTGTCAATCCTTACAATGATACCTACAGTGTATAGGAAGGTGACATGACTCTACAGCTTTCCCAGACTGGAACCTTTCAATATTTGATCAAACTATATTTTGGCATTTTCCTGGAAGAAATTTTAGAGAAAATTCATAACTATTCATTGTTCTCACACAGGTAAGGTCCACGGTTCCCTTGCTCGTGCTGGTAAAGTGAAGGGACAAACACCCAAGGTATGTTTCTGTCTTTTGTCTGCTGGCCCTTTACACCCTATCTTCTGTATGCATTTTCTCCACACTGTTCTCTATACATTTCCTAAAGTGCTGACTGGGAGAATTTGTTTTACTATCAAGAACTCCTTTAGTTGGTGGTCATTTCCTTTATTCTCATGACCATAATGTGTGACTCAGGGGGGATACTGAATTGAGAAGTTAGATGCTACTCACTCTTTGTGGTCAAAGTGCTGAGGTAGTCTTTTTAAACTTGTCTTCATCAACAAGCTTATCAGTAAAAACATGGCAAAGAACCTTTCTAGGGAAATCAAAGTGTGTTTTTTTTCTTTGTTGTCATTGTTTTTTTTTTCACATGCTGTACCATATTTCTAAGAAGCAAAGTGAAATCAAGGAGGAAATTAGATATAAAGAGTTTTTGCCCTGAGCTTTCCATTGTCATTTATGAACTCTGTACATAGTGTAAGCTTACCATGTCATTGTGTTCCTGTTGATATTAATCCTCAAACTCCCAGATCAAATTTGTTATTCTCCTTACTGTCAATCATACAATTCCTATAATGTTAGTTCAGAGAATATAGTATTGGATCAACTAATTATTCCCAAATTGATATTTTCCTTTATTCTCATCACTTATGTGGTTGATATTGTATTGATATTGTAAGGCAAAATTCTGTCTTAGTCACTCATGGGAGTTAAAGGGTTAATTGAGATGCAGCAGGTAGACCATGGAAGAAACTATTGGCTTTTGGTACTTAAACATGGTTTCTACCTTTTACACAGGTTGACAAGCAGGAAAAGAAAAAGAAGAAGACTGGCCGTGCCAAGCGAAGAATGCAATACAACAGGCGATTTGTTAATGTTGTTGCTGGATTTGGAAAAAGAAGGGGACCTAACTCAAATGCACCCTGAAGTGCTATAGTTGTCAGAATTACAGTCATGTAAATGGTGCTTTCTCTTCAATAAAATATTGTTGTACCATAACTCTGCACTGGTTTCTTTTGTTTTGGTAATTCTTTATATGAAACAACAATCTAAATTTGGTAGGAAAATATTCTTGAATAATGTCAGAGAATAAATTTTCAAGGCTTGTGTGTTTACTTATCTTATAAATCTTGCAAGTATTTTGTGCGGTGCATGGGTTCAAGCATTCACAAAGTACTTGGATACTTCTTGAAGACCAAGGACAGGTTACAGGAATGCCTGTGATCATGATGCAGATTTGGCAACCAGATAAAAAGAAAAAAACAAAGTGCTTTCATTCTTGGACCTGAGCATTCCTGTAGTAGCTCAAGTAAAAATAAAAATACAGTTCGTGTTATTCAATGGATAAACCATGGATACCTTGACAATTGCAACTAAATGCTGGCCTGTGGTATAAGTCATACCAGAGACCAACAGACTTACCATGATGTGACAAGGATCCCAAGATGTTAAAAGTGGTTTACTTCAGCCTGCAATGCAGATGTCTTGATAGGAAGAGTTAATGTTACAAGCCCACAATAGTTAATTTGACTGCCCATGTTTAATTTAGAGTTAGGGTGGAGGAGATGATGAGAAAAATTAACACCTGGGTGGTGGATAAGGGTTTTCAGCAGAAATACACCTAGTTCCAAACTTGCTGTGAAAGTGTCACCCACTATTATGGGGCATTTCCCACAATGATGATGTTTTCTGCCAAAAATGTAAATATTTATCAGCTTCCATGTAGAATGACTGATTATGACTTGTGTTTTGTAAAACCCACAACAGCCTGCATTATCCAGAAGTGAGAATAGTGCAATGCAATTTCAGTGAAATTTTGCAAGGAGATCAGCACTCGGCAACAAAGTTTATTGATGATAATAATTGGGAATGATAACTAATTTGGTAAAAATAAACAAAAGACAAAAGACAGGCAAGTATACAATCCTCACAAACTACTTTTATTTGCAGTTACAACAATGTAGTTATGAAAAAGTTTTGCCAAAAAAAGTAGTGCCAGTGCATCCTTAATTTTCTTAATATATATGGCTGAAGTACTTATTTCCCTGACTTAAGTCACATCTTGTATTTTACAGTGATTATATTTATATTGAGACCCATTCATTTCATACTTTCCCCTTAAATCATCTGATTACTTGTTCTTATTCAAAATATGTTTACTTTTGCTTCACTACTGGCAAACTGTGGACTGTTTGACCTGTCCCTAAAAACAGCAAAGGGTGTTATAGACTGGCCAATAATTAAATATAAAAAGTATTACAAAGTTAGCCTATTAATTTAATGTTGTCATATATGGAGAACAGAACATAAAGCACAGGAATGAAATTAGTTTGTCCAGAGACATACACATTTTTTTGCTGGACTTAGCAAAGAAGCACAATGATTCTCTTGAGAAAAAAAATAGAGTCTGTGAACAGACTAGATTCAATACCCTATTTCTGAGTGTCAGATGAATTTCCATTTGCAGCAGATACAGAATTATAATACAATTAATACTAACATGAAACAGCTGAGAGAATTTTTAGTAGTTGACAATGCAACTGTTAGATGTTTACTTAGTATTTCAAGTTTCAAAACTATTCCTGTTTTTCATACATAAGTCACATTGAGTTCTAAACCATCTTTATACAAAATATTCATAACAAGATCTCTGGATAAATGCAAGTTATAAAAGTGAGCCAAATGGGCAGATTCTACAAGGCTAGTAATCCCAAATACTAATAATCTTGCAACAAAATCTATCAATAAGTTTATAATAAGAAATATTTCTAAATTCATTAATAATTTATTTATTTAATAACAACAAGAGCTTCGTGGCAGAACTTCATTTTTTGTGTCCAAGAGTACTGCACTTGATCCAATCTCACCAGCAGAGGAGAGTATTCTTCCATTCTATGGAATAAGATCAGATACACTTTATAAGGAAATACATAATATGCAAAGTAATCATTCTAAAGTAAACGATACAGGCCTAGTGGTCAACTACTGACAGAATAAATTCTTGTTCTAAAGCATTTAGGGACTTGAAATTAAGTCTTAAAAGTTGTCCAAGGTTAAAATACTTATGTTTGAATTCACCTTGTGAAAGTTTCAGCAAAGCTTGTTTCACCCTCTCAATGAATCAGATGCAAAATTGACAAAAACCAATCATGCCTTGAGTGATTATTTTTTTACTTTGAGGCTCCTGGTAATTTTTCCTTTTTTCTGATTGGTCAATCCCAAATTTTTTTTAATGCTATTCAATTAGAAAGTGCACTCCACTCTTCCTGGATGGAAAGCTAGTCTACAGTTCCTCCTTCAAGTTTTCCAGTGGAGAAAGAAGCATATAACCATAGAACATGACACAGTGACCTGTCCAAGGAACAAAACCTAGTCTTTTCTATCTGGAGTCCAGTGGGCTGGCACTGAACTCTGACTGATGTTCACTGCAACTTATAGCATGTGGCTAATTCTTGTCTCTGGAGCCACAAATTTTTTTTATCAAACAGGCTCTGAAAGAAACCTATTTTTCTTTCAGCTTAACTGACTAGTAAACTACTTCTCAGTAAAGAGTTCTACAACTCTATGCAAACTCAGTTTTGACCCAAACTCAGTTTTGACCTTTCAAATCCTCAGTTACCAATAATCAATGCTGATCAGAAGTACTGCAGCTATTATAGATAAGACTAGGTCATACATATTGCACTGTCTAAGCTGACAAACTTTTACCTGGTCAGGCACATCCATAGTTTGTAAAATTTGTCGGCATATTTCTGTGAAGGCCTTAAATTGAAGAAGAAAATGGGAGAAAGATTGAAAAAACAACATAAAAAGTAAAATGGAGATATAAATTTCCATTTAAAACTTGGCAGTAATTCGGCTCTTACCTCATCTATATTTATATTGGACTGTGCACTTGTTTCATAGAACTTGATATTTTTTTCTGCAGCAAGCTGAAAAGTAAAATGCAAACACTTTTTCAAAGGTTTGTGTTACGAGATACTGTATTGGAAAATCACTGATAGATCTTTAACTCATAGGAGTTGTTTCTGTAGTCTAAAAATTAAAGACAACTGTAGCCCTTCCTCTTTTTAAATAAATATCAAATGAATGGAAAGATTTCAAAGGATACCAACCCTTGCTCCTTGATCCTTCCAAACTCTTCTTTCATCTTCAGCATCACATTTATTTGCCAGCAGTAGTCTCTGAACATTGTTGTTAGCATGCTAAGAAAAAAAAATTACCTGTTAACCAAGGCATACCCAATGTTTTTTAACAAGTTAAAGATGGACAGAAAGTCAGGAAAATCCCTGTAACACTCACCTCATCAACATATCTAAGCCATTTCCTAATATTATTAAATGTTTCCTGCCTTGTTATATCATACACTAGAATTATTCCCTGTAAAAAGGAAGAATAAAATTTAAAGGAAATTCATTCAAAGTTATTGACACAGATAAACTTGCAAATATCAATTAAAATTATGCGGTATCCAGAGCTAATAAATCTGACAAGTTCACACTCAAGTTAACAAGCCCTTTTTGAATTTGCTGACCAGTAAAAATTTGACCCTGTTGTAGATTTACTAACCCTTTAACTCCCAGATCAAATTTGCAATTCTCCTTACTTTCAACCATACAATTCTTATAATGTTAGTTCAAAGAATTTAGTATGGGATCCACTAATATTATTATCCTCAAGAGGATATTTTTCTTTATTCTCATCACTTATCTGGTTGATATTGTACTGATATTGAAAGGAGAAATTCTGTCTTGGTCATTCATGGGAGTTAAAGAGTTAATTTAGCCCTTTAACTCCAATGATATCATTGTCAATTCTCCTGTCTAGCTGCTACCAATTACCTTGTAAACTAGTTACAAGAACTGGTATTAAATCAAGATAACAACTTCTACATGATAAGTTTGAGTACTCTCATTACCTGTTTGCTGAATAAGGTAGGAATATTGTAAAAAGAATTTATATGTTAATCACTTGTGAGAGTTAAAAGGTTTGAAAGGTAGTAAAGAAAATATCAACCAATACTGTATGTTCATAGGCACATAGAATATATAGAAGAGAGATGAAAGGGGAAAAGGAGGTAACATTTGCTTTTAATCAACCCCTGTGGTTGGACACCAGTCAAAGCCATAAAATTATTTCCTCTGACATTCATTTCATCTGAAGTAAGTCATTCGATAATTGTAGCACATTACACTGAAACTGTTCCTGTCTTCTTTTCCCCCACAATATTTGCTTTTATTTCACCAAAAGGGAACATCACTAATGAGTCTTTTTTAATTGTAATTCTAGAGAACTGAAAATAGATTGGTCCCCCAGCTGAGTTGAGGTCATTCTCACAGATTTAAATAATTTTTCATGCTCTTCAAAAAATATTATTTGTGTCCATAGATATGATTGTACTATATAATAATGAGAATCATAGTAAAGACTACATATCTTACAAATACGCACATGAATTCAACCACTAGACTTACATGTGCTCTTCTGTAGTATTGTGTTGTGATTGTTTCATATCTCTCTTGACCAGCTGTATCCCTATAAAGTCAGGAAACAGAAATCAGTTCAAATATTACTTCACATCTATCAACAGCAATTGCTAGCGATTGAAGGCCATTGCTTTGTACTTCCCATGTGGTTTCCAACATTCTTTTAGAAACAAGATGTTCCCTGGACAACAAGAAATCCTGAATAGTTGTATTTATCTGAATTTAAGAAGCAGAGATCAGTTCAAATATAAATAATTGATCCTCCACTTAAATGGCTAAAGTCCGCCATTCTTTTAATATCATAATTTCCACTACATAAACAATGAATCAAGCAAAACATTAAATCTTGAGCACTTTATTTAAATCATACTACTTTACAAAGATCCTCTTTGACAAATCAAAGCAAATTTAACCCCAAATTATGGCCTGGATTGATTTTATTGTCTCACTGCTTGTCATGCAATTGCTAGGGGGTCCATTAGTCTAAAAAAAAATGTTTCAGTTCTCAGTCATCCGAGCAAAGGTTAGAAAATGATAAGATAAGCAAAGGAGAGTTCAGTGGCCCTGTAGTTATTAGGGAAAACATTTGGTCTTGGTTCGGAAAATTCAATAAAGATTTTACTGAAAAATGATTGCTTTCTTTGGGTATATTTCCTTGGAGTTCAACCACATTAAAGATAATTCCTTTAAATACAGCTTTTTAACAGAAAAAGGCTGAGCAATTGATCCAGACAATAAAACAATAAATGGCATCTTAACCTTCTTAACTTTACTATAATCATAATGATGTAATTGTCTGACTAACTTTGAGATAGTTTAAAGAAACGTAAAAGGAAGTAACATTCCGCTAAAATTTGACTGTTTCCACTAAATGCTCTTGACGAGGAGACGTATCTCGGTGAAGCTCAAAATGTCCCGCTGAAAGAGCGGCACTTAAGAATCTTCTAATGGGCGCAATAAAATTTAAATGTAGCATAGAGTAATAAAATCTAAATTGGCTATAATCGATATCGTAAACTGCACCAACGAGTTTGACGAAAATAACACCTCATGTATGCGCTTCAAAATAAACACGACCAAATATTGATGAGACGAAACCAGTCGATGTGGATTACAAAGTTTTTAGTTGTTCTCAATCGAAAGGGAAATAGCTAGAATATACCAAATCTTCTCGTGATCGTCTCGGAGAAGTATATCTAGGGACATACGAAGACAGTCGCGGACTGGTGTTTCAAATGAATTAAGTAGAGTAAATAACAATGAAACAGCTATAGGGGTAAATTATTTTATGAAACGTTAACATCATCTTAATAGCATCTTCGTACGCGGATAAAGAGGAAGCGGTGAAATTAGTGTTGTTCCCGAGTTCTTCACAAGCGTCGGTAGCTTAAGCGCTATGTAAAATGGTTTCGATACTAAAAGTACCTACATGTAACTTAGTTTCGCATTACTGTACCTTAGATTTATGGCAAAACTACATCAAAAATCATTTAAGAACAAAATTAAGGCAAAGGAGTCCGTCCTCTTCACCTCCATAGTGAGAATGTTGTTAAGCCTTAACACCGGAAACCAGCGTTCAAACTGCGAGAGAAGATTTTGGATATCTAAAGATGGCTTACCACATCTGTATTCGGATCCTTTTCCCTTCGACAACAATCGTTTTCATCTTGAAATCTATTCCTAGAAAATACAGAAAGATGCAGAATTATTCATTGGTACAGCAAATTACAGGTATTTCAGTGACAACCTGCTGAATAATTCTAGCGAAGGAAGATTTTTCCCCGACTGATTTTTTTCAGCTTACCTATGGTTGATATGTGTGATCTGTTAAATTCGTTGTTGGCGAAGCGACAGAGAATACAAGTTTTTCCAACCCCTGAATCTCCAATCAGGAGAATTTTAAACAGGTAGTCATAACTTTTCGCCATATTTCCTTTACCCAATTACAGGGTAGTCAACCGTCCCAACTAAAACAAAGGCCTACGGCGAATTACGCTTGGCAACTTCACATAAAATATTCATGATATAAACAGCTAACTTCACAGCTTCCTTTCCGGAATTTCATGAAATAATATCCATTTTCAGCGCCATTTTTAAAATAGCTCCTCCCCAGACCTTCTGGGCATTTTCTACTGGCTCCCAGTGTTCGTTGAGGATTTCCCGCCAATCTTTTCCAAAATGGCGGTCGTTTCTTTTTGCCAGTTTACTTCCCTTGATCGACAGTTTCTAGGCGAATAACAGAGTGAAATACCTCAATGAAGCCAAATTCAAAGAAAAGCATAGTATATGCAAAGGTAATTTACTACGTACACCTAGCTAGATGGTCTTAATGGATAAATGGAACGTAGAATTTAAATTTTACAATAACACACACACTGAACTGTCATTAACCTGAATCGACAATTCACCTTATTTAGTTAACTTCGAATTCCAAATTAGCAAAGCAGGTTTTTATTTCATTTGAATCATGTTTCAGCTTTTAATTTGTGAGAAATGTAAAAAATCGCAACAAGAACTGGTATTCGTCTAATGAAATTGTATACATTTTCTTTTCTCTCAAGCTCTGTGACAAGCTTTTTGTGCATTAGAAAATAGATTGGGATTTATTTTTTTTAGGTTCTTGATCGCAAGGTATTGATGGTGGAGGTTTTTATACATCCAGTATATTCACTTGGAAATCAGCCAGCGACAGAAAATAAAGACAACAAATACAAGTGGTTTACAGAAGAACACTTTCGTGTCAGTAGAATTTTGTGTAATAATTGATCATCTATTACTTCTGAATACTATGCGCATGTTAAGTGTTTCAGACCAGTTATCTCCAAACTTGGGCCATAAGCTGTATGCAAAGACCTCTGGAATGTGTAGCAATATTTATCATAGTAATTAATCCTTTAACTCCTCGGAGTGATTAAAACGTAACTTCTTCCTAAAAAATCCTTACATTTCAAGCAAACAGATAAAAATACTCTAAATTTACAAGCAGAAGTTGTTGTCTTGATCTAACACCAAATTTTCTGAACTAATTGACAAGAAAGTGTGGAGCAGCTTGAGAGGAGAATTAACAATCAGATCTTGTGCATTTAAAGTCTGTATAAATCTGATTTAGGGTATAATGTTACCAAAACCTCTGCTTTGGAGGCTGAGTGGAAGGTAGCTTGTGATTTCATTGTATGCAAACAAACAAAAAAAAATTACTAATTGTATGCTAACAAACAAACAAAAAAAATCACTAAAATTTGCTCTTATTTTCTTTATTTTGCTTATGACCTATAGAGGTTGATTTCAAAACTGCAGGATGTTATTCTTGCAAGAGTATTGGCTCCATCAGAAACCAAAGGCAAGAAGAAAGGAAAAAATGATAGGATGTCACAATGTGATTGTGCTGAAACATTACCTGGTTAGCAAGAACTTCATTTTAATTAAATTACTTGAAAGAGGTGTCAATAAAGTTTTCTATATTTTTTGTTATAATAATGGTTTGAGAAATCACTCTTTACCTTTAGATCATGAACTGCTCATTCAGTATCAGTTTGTCAGGAAAAGAATGTGTGGGCAAATTGTTTTGGTTCAGAAGAAAGAGGTGAGGACAGTAATTATATTTTATAAGCTTTAATAATTGTATATTAAATATGTTATATTTTTTTAATAAACCAATTTTTTTTCTTGAGGACAATTTTGTGCAACTTTACAACTGGTGACTGAAGTAGTTATGAAAATTTCCTCTTTGTTTGCTGTTTTGCCCCATTTTACCAACTGAATGCCTGGAATGGGCTCACCCACTAGTATTGCGATGAAGATTCATTACTTGGTTCAGATGGCTGGTTGTTTGATCATAGAAATGGGAAGGAGACTAAAATCCCACTCAATAATAAAAGGGTTAAGTTCCTAAGAAACTGGTGCTGTGTGGGTGGGAGAGTATAACAAGGTAATTTGGTTTTATTAATTTCGTTTTTAATGTTTTAATGGCCACCATTAAGAGTTTCAAAAGCTGATGTTTTGAGCGTTAGTCTTTCTTCTTTTGATCTGTGGAAGGCTAACACTTGAAACATCAGCTTTTGAAACCTTAACAGTGGCCAATTTACATAATTATATTATCAACTCAGTTGATAACACCAAATTACCTTGTTAATCCCACTCATTTTTTTCATCTTAAGTCCCTTAAAAACTGCCAGTGGCATAAACCGCTCACAACTTGGTCATAAGGCTCCTGCTTTGTGCAAATTAATGATTATTGATCACTATTGAGTTTTCCTTTTTTTAATTTTCAAAGGAGTCGCAAGCAGGAGATCCAAAGGTGGCAAGGGATGTACAGCAATCTGACTATTCAGGTGATTTTAATTCTGTCATGTTATGATGAAAATATTGATGGAAGTAAATATCTAATTGATTACTGGAGTGTGTTACATAAGTTCAGGTGATCCAACTTTTTTAGGTCAGTCTCACTTAACAAGCAATCGGCTTGCTCATAATTCCAATAATTTTGGAGAGGCAAAGATGGTGAAACAGTGAGAGATTTTACTTGAAATTGTTGTGACTGAGGATTGAATCCAGAAGTTCTCTCATTTCCTTCTTTCATTTCTCTTTCTTCTTTCTTCTTTGGACCACATTTTTATTACGACAAAATTGATAAAGAGCCACCATTGCTTAGAGTACATAGTATTTTATTATTTATTGCAAAACCGTGCTAGTAGAAGAATCAGTGGGTGCCTAAGGGACCTTGGCATGAAGATAGTTATACATCAAGTCACCCACAGGTTTCAATAATGGCTTGGAGCAAACTTGAAGAATTGCTTCTGAAACATTTGGAGATTTTTGTTTTTCAGGTGGTGGCTATGAGAGCTGTGTTTTCTATCCAGAGAAGCTCCATGTTACAGTCATGTTAAATTCTCAACCTGGTGATCAGAAGCCTGCAGCAAAATCACAGGTAAGTTGTTCTTTGATTATATCTGTGGACATTTCATGATTATAATCAGCATGCACTAGTATTTAGTGCACATACTTCTTGTTTAATTTATTCATGATAACAATCATCTTGCACTTTCACACTTAACCCTTTAACTCCTAAGATCTCATTTTAATTCTCCATACTGTCTGCCATACAATGCTTATGATATTAATTTGGAGAGTTTGGTACTGGATCAAGAATTAAATTCCCTTAATTTATATTTTTCTTTATTCTCATTACTTGCCTGCTTGATATTGTATTGATAATGTAAGGAGAAATTCTGTCTTGGTCACTCATGGGAGGTAAAGGGTTAAAGGCACAAGGGGTATATCGATCAGTGTACAGTAGAAACACAAGCAAATAATCTCCCCTCCCCCAAAACAATTTTTGTGATTAAGGGCTTTTTTTGATAAATCTCCCTAGTACTTGCCATTAGTGACAGTGTCCAGCCAGTAGCTTTTATTGACTAAAGAAACTTCATCCACTGTAATTAGAAAATTGCATAACACTGCTATTGAGTTTGATAAAATTGGTTCAATTTAGGTGACTGAAGATGTTCAAGAACAACAGCCTCCCAAGTCAACCATCAGCAAGTACTTCAATAAAGAAAATGTCTATGCCACACGTTCAACCCTGAAAAAGAGAGCTGCCTCGAAGTGTTTGTAAGTAGAAGTGCTCATCTCACCAAGATTTGTTGTCCTGTATGTTTTTCTGTAACCTTTTCTTTAATGTTTGCCATTTTGATGGACTAAGGGCAAATGTTATCCGTCAACAAATTGATGTCGAAAGTACAATTGTTTTTGTCAAAATGTTCGATCTTGTGTTCAGATTGTCAGATGATGATCAAGTAATCGTTAAGTCTAAAGGTCTTAATATTGATTTTGTTTTACTCATTTGTGTATGGTGTGCTGTTTTATCCGTTAGGAACAAGAAAAACGACTCACAGGGAAAGAGTGAATCCTACGTTTGTTCCAATTTGCCTGTTGGGGTTGATTCAGAGGAAACAGAAAAGGAAAACTCCAAGGTTTTTGACTCAGCAAAAGTTCAGGATGTAGAAACTGATGGAAGAAATGAAGATATCTCTTGTGTTAATCAGTTCAGCCCAAAAATTGAAACTCACGACGTCGTTCCACTTCACGAAAGCGAGAATGGCTCAAAACAAGACGAATATGACCAAAAGATTCTCAAAAGGCGTGGAAACGAAGATAACGAGCAGGGATGGTCACAGAATGATATCAGTGCAGATAGCGTCTCCGTAACGAAGGAAGATGTTCCTCAAGTAGCCAGTTGTAGTGACGGCTTCAATTCCTTGAAAGATGTCACGAACGTTGAAGCTGTTAAAGACACTCAAAAGAATAAATTAGAATCGATTGTTTCCAATTCTTCAAAGCTAAAACGACGCAGATCTTTTTCTGAATCTGATACGACTAACTCTGATTCAGTTCCGTGTCTTAGGTCTCGAATTTCCAAGAACAAGACCGTTAAGAAACAGAGAGCTGTATCCAACGATGAAAGTGGAGGTAAAAGAAAAGCGATAGCTCTTGTTGATAGAACAGAAGATGATAACGATTTTGAGACACCTAAAGTGAGACGAAACACGGCAAAGCGCAAAGGTTCGGACTTGTCCGATGATCAAGACTTGTTCACTTCTGCCTTTTCAACTGATAATGAAACTTCTTCAAATGTTAAACCTGACGCAAAGGGAACTATTAACTCCAAAAAAAGGAGGACCAATCAGGTAGAAATAAAAGGAAAAGCTTTGAGTGGGAAGGCTGCAAATTTAGCGAGGAAGCGAGTGACTACACGACAAGCGAAGACGGTGAATGGGACAGCAGTGACGGATTTGGAAGGTAAAATAACTGATTGCTGCTTCAGTCTCCCTTTCCTCTTGGGACAGGGCCTTAATAGTGCCCTAATTTTTCACGGGACGCCTTCTTTGTCTCCTCCGAGGTCATGTTCATAGTCCTTAGCACGGTTTTTGATAGTTCTTCTTCCCAGCAAGCCTGGTGTTCCTCTCTTTCGTTTCCCTTTTTGGGGGTCAAGATAAGAAATTTAATCAGGGACCACCGGGAGGGGGGAAGGGGCAGAGGGGTGGGGAAAGTA